CGCCCCCCGGTCCTCCCCACCCGGCGCCCCCGCCTCCTCCCGGCTGTTGCTCACCGCGCCGCAGTCGCCGCCGCCGCGCCCCGGGCCCCGCTGCCCATCCCGAAGCCCGTACCCTGTTGCTGTGGCCGCCCGGAAAAAAAAGGAAATCCACCGCGAGGCCGAGAGGGCTGAGCATGCGCACCAGGGGGACGGCGGAGGCAGGGAAGGAAATCGAGCGCCGCGCCCCTACCCGGCGCCAGGCCCGGGGCCGCGAGCGAGGAGCCTCCACCCGGATCGTCCTCCGGAGGAGGGTGCGCCTGGGTGCCTTTATTCAAAGCACCTTCATCAGTAATCGTGGTCAAGCGCATGGAGCTCAGGCTGCTTTTCGTCAGATCTTTAAAAAGGACAGGAGCGTAATAACTGCAAACGCTCATGGTGCGTGTACCAGGTGGTCCTCCACGCACTATGTATTTGTAGATTTAACCTTCACACAAAACCCAGTGAGGTGGATACCTTATGATCTCCCTTTTATTTGTTTATTTTATTTTATTTTTTTTTAGCAGACAAGAAACTGAAGCACACAGAAATTAAGAAATATGCCCAAGATCACACCCCTCGTGTCTAGTGTGAGTCGCCATGACTTAAGCTGCCTGGCTCCAGACCGTGTGCTTTTCATGATTGTACTGTACTGCTTCTGCATGTAAACGTGCCCTACCTGGATGTATTTACTAGATCAACAACATGCATATTAAAAACAGTTCTATTAACAAAAACAATAATGCCATTTGATCAGCAGTGATATTTTGGAAGTTTGGAAAGAAGATGGAAGAGGAGAACTATTTATCAGTTCATGGAAAATTCTTTAGGTTACAAAGTCCCGAAGCAAATTACCTTTATTCTAATAGATAAGAATCTCCTTCTTCATTTGCATCTGTTTTTGCATTTCTTATTTTGCTAAAATTCACATTTTAAAAACAGCTTCTGTTGTAAATGCTAATAACCTTTCACAATTCAAATTTCATGTCAGTCCTCAAATTTCTCTTTGAATGAGAAGCAACTTTCTTTTTTTTTTCTGTTTCATGAGATCATAATCATTACTGACAGAATGAAGGTTTAAACTTTGCAGCATACATTCCAGATGAAGTGCTACAGGAATTAAAGAATAAACCATTGATTATACTTAGGCTGCCTGATTTCCCTTCATCATTGTCTCCTTCATGAGCATAGAAAATATAGTTGCTATCTACCTGTGTAATTATTTTTATGATATTGAACAAAATAATTCTGATCAATAGATGGGTCACTAGCATTTCCTAGAACAACCAAACAATTACATATAGAATTTGTTGTGGAAAGTGTTTCTGAGTTAAGGAAAGCACTAACATATTTTTCCATAGCAAGAATTCCATGCTTCTTGAAGGATTCCTCATTGGATAGTTCACTGAAAGTGTAAATATTAGGGCACCATCAAATGAGAAAAAAAAAATCAGACATTGAAGGCATGTGGGAGGACACAAAGACAAGAACAATACATTGTGGAAATTGTTAAGACTTTATTCAGGAAAGTGCATATATACTTTTTTGAGACTAATTATAATTTGAAATATAGTTTTTCCTTCTCCATATAGGCACAGACACCATAACTGTGGTCATTTGGGGGCACACTAAGTATACACAGTAGTTGCGTAATTCCTGATCTAAGGCTCTGCTTATATTTGTGTTTGGCATTATTTTGTTGTTGTTGTTGGAGAGGATTTTTGCTATAGGGCACATGCATTCTCCAGAAAGACAGAGAGAGACAGAGACAGAAAGCGAGAAATCACCCCCTGGCAGGGAGGGCCCTGCCGCAATCCCTTCTCCTCCATTCTCTTCTTGGGATCTTGGGCACGCATGTACACGTGCCCAGTGTGAGTTTAAGCCACCAGGTCCAGGACTCGAACCACAGTTGACTACATGGGAGTTCAGCGACATAGCCATTATGCTAACTGCTGGTCCCTGTTTGAGATTATTATTATTTTTTTTTGAGAGGTTTTCACTATAGGGCGCGTGCGCTCGCCAGACAGACAGACAGAGAGACAGAGAGACAGAAAGCGAGAAATCACCCCCCAGGGGGGATGGTCACGCTGCAATCTCTTCTCCTCCATTCTCCTCTTGGGATCCTGGGCACGCACGCACACGCGCCCGGCGTGAATTTTAAGCCACCAGGTCCGGGACATGAACCGTGGTTGACTACGTGGGAGTCCAGCAACATAGCCATTACACTAACTGCTGGTTCCCTGTTTGGCATTATTTTTGACAGTTCTTCCAACCTTACCTGTGCAACTATGTAGAACTCGACTTCAAAACAAGAAAATAAAAAGCATATATCAAAGTGTATAGTACAAATATTTGTGCATAAATATGAAATGTTATTTTATTACTAAAGGAAGAAAAACGTTATGGACTAGTTTAAAATTATTTCTGCATTAAACTGAACTTTTTTTTCTTTATCACTTTTTACTTGTTTTTCAACTAAGCGAAGTATCTTCAGCATGTCTCTCCCTCTTTGAATTTATACTACTTAATGATATTCTGTAATGTCCTTTTTTTCATTTAAATTTCATACTACATGTGGTCTTAGATTTAGATTTCATGTTAATATCACAAATGTATAAAACATTAAATTTCTGAAACTACTGGGATCTGTTAAGGTGTTTTAGTGATATAATATGATGTTTTATTTCACTGGTTTTATTGACATTTTATTTGATAAAAAATATAATGTATAGAACAATATTTTTTAAGATTATGATACCACTGTGATTATTATATCATGTATTTTGGAGGTATTCCTCTTGTATGCTCACCCTTCTGCTTGTGGTGCAGAAAATTATTAAAATTCAAATGGACACTTCTAATTTCATTCAGGAGGGAGTAACTATGATGAAATTTCTACTCATTCTGTAAATAATTTTAAAGCTAGACAAAAACATGAGAAAATTTTGGTTCAGATATTGTGAAACATACTGCAAAGAACTGAAAGAAGGGAGTCAAGTGAGTCCCACAATTGCCCTGGTTTTTGCTTTGGGAGAATTTTCAGACTGTTGTGCAGGAAAGAAAAAATTAAGATCCCAGGGATCTTCAGCTAAGGCCACTGAAATTTTCTTAGTGGAGTAATTGTGCAAAGTGAGGTGGCAGAAGAGTTCCTGAAATGTGTATTCATATGCCCTAGAGTCTGCTGCTAGTAGTAAACCCTGCATGCACAGGCTTAAAATACACTGAGTTAACAGGAAGCCCTAAAAGGATTGAGCTACTCTACAATGAGCATAACTGCCTATAAGAAATCTCCATTTCTTGCCAATGAGAAATTTATATTGTCAGGCATTCTGTAAAAAATTACAAAATAAAAGCAGAGTTCAGCTGGAACTGTCCAACAAGAAGTCTCCATGGGGCCTCTCCATGTGATGTTGGCATCATCATGGCCCAAGGCTAATGAATTGAAGAAAGAAGTCTAGTCAACAAGTTAGAAATGTCATGGCCTCTTGTGACATGCATTAAAATGTGTATAATTTTCATTGTTAAATAAACCACAAATCTTTTCAATTTCAAGGCAGAGTAAAGCTGGAGGGGAGGATGGGAATTGTTGACAGTATCTCTTATGAAACGTGTACAGAATATTTATGGGTAAATTTTTAAAAGGTACAACCTTTCAATTGGCAACACATTTTATTCTTATTCTATGGACACTGTATACACTATTCCCTTCTCTTTTTTTAAAGAATTATTTTTCAACTTTATTTATTTATTTATTTATTTATTTATTTATTTATTTATTCATTCATTCATTCATTCATTCATTCATACCAGAGAGGGACAGAGTGAGAGAGAAAGAGAGAGAGAGAAAATGAGAAAGCAAGCCACTAAGTCCGGGACTCGAACCACTGTTGGTCATGTGGGAGTCCAGCATCCTTAACCACCATGCAACCTGCCAGCCCCCACTATTCCCTTCTAATACTAACAATAGTCTCATGCCAATATAGCATCAGGTTAAGGTTTATTACCCAGGAAATCATAAGCCATATTGGATCTAGATACAAATAAAAAACAGTCTTTTCCTTTGTTAAACTTACCCTTGATCTAAGGACTTCTGAACTAAAAGGTTTGTGAGTCTCAGACCCCCAAGACATAGCAAAAATGCAA